ATAAAACAATTATTTATTTTTTAATTAACACTATCTTTTTATATTTACTTCTATTAAACACACTACAATAAATATACAATTATTATTAATAAAAAATTTAAAAAATAATAATTATATCTTAAAAGATTAAAAATATTTTATATTTTTTAATATTTAATTTTTTTAAAAAAATTATATTTTTAAATGAAAGGAATATATTTATAAACAAATATTTACGTTGATGATGTCGTTATAAAATTTGGGCTGACTAGTCCAAATTTTACAACTCGTTTAGAGAGTACGTACTAATCGTCGAATCCTACTCGGAAGCCAAGTCATTGATGCTGTAATAATATATATAATTCATAAAGCTGTTCGAGGCTTCCACAAGCCTCCTGGCCTAACGATTTAAAATGTTCGAAGATGTGATCATCAGCTAATTTTTTTTTTTAAAATAATAACCTGGTTTTGGCCCATTTTATACATCAAACAAAAAGAAGATACTTACCACGCATCCATTAGATTATCGCGCCACGTTTTTTTAAAAAATAAATTTAAGAAAACATCAAAATGATTTTTTTTTAAAAAAAAAGTCATGGTCCATCTAGATTGAAAATGGAGCAGAATTTTTTAAACAAATTGAAGGACGACCAATAAATGGTGACAATTGTCCATCAAGAAAACTAAAGAAGGATCTCGATGAAAGGGAATACAGAATTTTATTAATCCAAAATGTATGAATTTGATCTTATCTATCATCTGTGCTTGTTTAGTTTGTATTAAAATTAAAAAAAGGGAAAATAGGATTTAAGAATCTTTTGAAATAATTATTTATAAACAAGAATCAATAACAATTCACCATATGAGAAAAAAATAAGTTTCTATTACATACTACTTTCATAATAAATAATTTAATTTTGATCATTATCTATAACTAATTCTTTTGAGAGATCCTCCCAATTCAAAAAGACCCGAGTATTAAAGAGTTTGAGCTATTGGACTATTAGAAGGTATGGAATTTACATATAATAATGGAGTATTTATTTGTTTGTGAGAAAAATTTCAGAATTACTTTAAGATCTCATACAATATAATTAAATATTACAATGTAAAAAAGACCCGAGACGCCTTGCGCGGTGTTTCTTTTGACCACCAAGACTTGTCCCACACATTCTAGCTCCTCCTCCTTTCTTTCTTTCTTTTCTGGGTTTGTTCGGCGGACGCACGGTTGATAAATACCAACTTTCCATACGCGTATTTGTGCATACATACAACTAATTAATTAACAAAATATTAGAAAAAATACAGCCAAAATATAAGGTCTTAAAGTAAACATAACTTTTAATTTTTATTTTTTACTCATGTTTTATTTTTAATCTCTATATTTTTTTTGGTGTTTTAGGTTCATATACTTTTTTTAGTGTTTTAAGTATTTATACATTTATTTTTTTATTATTTTGGATCCTTTTGAAGTTTCTATATTTTATTTATAGAGGGACCAAAAATAATGAAAAATATAAGTATAAGGACCTAAAATATTAAAAAAATATAGGGACTAAAAGCAAAATGTGAGTAAAGTATATGGATCAAAAGTTATGTTTACCCTTAATTTTATATAAAATTTTAACTTGATCCCTTAATTTTATAAAATATTCTTTCAATCCTCTAACTCTAATACAATTAATTTTAAATAATTATGTTTTGTGCTAATTATCATTATTGTAAAATTTTATATAAAGAAAATTTTTAACAACTTTGTTTCGTTAAAAATACCCCTCTTTTGTTTGATATCATGAGATATTTTTGAAAAAATGATATTTAATGAGTTAGTTAATTATCTTTAAAATTATATACTTTCTTCATATTTATTCCTATTTAATAATAGGATGTTTGAATTAAACAATTTTATTAATTATTATTTTTAATTAAGTATATTTTTTAAATCTCATTAATTATATTTTAAAATATGTAAAAAAATCTTATATTTTTAAATATTTTATTTAAAAAATGTTTTATATTTATTAAAGGAGGGAGTATCAAATGTTGCTAATTGATGCGGAGCACAAGCTCCGGTGAAGAGCACAGAAGAAAGAGCGTTCTGGGTTGTTATGTCCAATCCAATCACGTCCTCGTCCTTCCCATTGTGGCTATGTGGGCAGTTCAGAACAAAGATTTGCTTCGTTATACAGGTGCGCCTCAATAACTCGTCCACGTGGCACTTCTATATGGAACCTAAAGAAGGAAAATGAAAGTCGATAATATTATTGTCTTTCTTTTTCTTTCTTTCTTTTTTGTCCAACGGTAATATTTTGGAGTTGGCTTTGCTGGTAGAGCAGAATAGGGACCACTGTAGATTTGCGTGTTAAATTAAATTTGTTAACTTTTAAAAGTATGAATTCAATTTAAATAATTCATATTTACAGTAAAGAGACAGTGGATGAAAAAAGCAGTTCAGAGAAATCCACTTCATAGTAGTACAGTGATATAATATAAATAATACCCACACAAATACCGCATGCCAATAACACGGTCCGCAAATCTGTTATACTTGGTCATTGACCATTCCAAAGTTGTATTAATCCAAAAGAAGACTCTCGCTTCTCAAAATTGTTGTCCATCAATTATTGATTTTCCTGATACTGTTGCTTCTCTTCGTTATCTTCACTGTCTTGTCTTTGATGATAATTTTCCCATTTTTTAAAAAGATGGAAAAAAGACAGAGCTCTCCAACTTAATAATTTGGAAACCATCCAGTTATTATTTTTAGAATAGGGATGAATTATTTTATTTTTGCTTGTGCCCTTGAACTTCAAGCATATGCAACAACGTAAGCATGATTCTCGGTGGTTGGTGTGATGATTTACATTTAATTTATAAAATACTAGTGTGTGTGTGTGTGTGTGTGTGTGTTAACATCACGTTTACCAATCGCTAATATCAATTCTTTTTTTCTGCGTACTTCCGTCCTATAACACTCTGTTTCCGTTTTGCATTTAATGCTGATAATAGTGCTAATCAACAATGATCCCATTAGTTTGAATTGAATAAAACCTAATGATGAAGCGCATATGTTTATATATTTGTTTTTGAAAACCAAAATTTGCAACTATCTGCGTTTCACATATTACGGTGTCGACATAGACGCACAAAACCTAGATATATACTCCGCCTTAATCATGGTCAGATGACAAAGCACCATCATCTAATTTATAAATATAAAAAACCATTCAACTCTAAGATGACAAGGATTGAGGAGATGTTCTTTTTATCTTAATTATTTGGTGATCAAATATCAGAATTAGCATCGAATGCCATGTGTCAAGTCACTATCCTTAAAACATCCTTCCTCGTACGGTCATACCACCAAGGAGTGGAGATACAGGAAACTTGCACGGAAGACTGATAATCAAGTGAGCAACCAGCCATGGCGCCCTTCTAAATCACAATACAAGCCATTATTAATTAATTTATGTTTTAAAGTTGCTTAAAATTTTAATTTTTTTAAAAACTTCCACATCATTTAACTTATACTTTTGTGTAAAATAAATGTAACATTTAATTTATTCAAATCACTTTCATTAATTACTTGAATGAAAAATAAAAAAGTAATAATACAATAGAAAAAATTTATATACAACTTACTCAATATCTTATATTTTGAATCAAACGTGACTTAAAAAAAATGTTTTATATTGTGATTAGAAAGGTGTACTATATATATGCCGCACCAGAAAATAATTCCATATTTTGATTTTTTTTTTAATTTTCTCGGCGCTCGTTGTTGTCCTTACTTTTTTATTCATAGACACTTGAACTTGAATTCTTTCAATGTTTCTTTAAAATTAATCATTTTTATTTTACAAATAAATAGATACAAAACATGCAAGGATTACTTAGTGGCCACCGGGTTCAATGTACCAAAATTTTCGAGAATCAACTTAAAGGAAAGTTCACAAAACGACACTTGGTTCAGAAATACCGTTTTAATTGAATCTAGTTTACTAGTTTATAATTTAAGGATACATCTGCAAATATACAATAAATACTCAAGAACTTACCTAAATTATACTTTAACAATAAACCACACACCAATAAAATTCTTATTCTCATGAAATATATATATATATATATATATTCACCTTTAATTCTAATTTATGATGCAGGAGAGGATCATAAATTTAAAGGCACAAAATTCTAAGTTAATAAATATAAAGAGTAAAATAATTTTTTGTTCACAAATGTTAAGATGCTTATATTTTGGGTCAAAATGAGTATTTGGTAAATTACTTTTCCAGTTGCAAGGAAAGTGTGAGGCTTAGCTTCTCAATAACATAAGACATCTAGCAAAACAAGTTAGGCGAAATTTATTACTTTCTCAAGGGGAAAAAAAAGAAAAAAGCAAAAAGCTTCCCTTCTCCTGTTATCTGATTATCTCTAATAAAGAGTTAAGGTACATATTTATCTCTAATCAAGAGTTTTTTTTTTTTTAATTTTTGTTCCTGGAATGGAGAATCTTATGTGAGAAAAGCAGGCACGTGCGGTGTAAGGGGAGTAACTCGTAAAATTGGAATTAGTTGCGAAAAGTGAGGAGGAATATAATTGATTGGCATGCGATCCGACACGTGGCCCTATGGCTGCGGGTCAGCTTCTCAAATTTGATTTGGTCAGTCAAGATAAGTTATGGACTAAAAAAGCAAACAAGGAATCAATATCAAATCTGCCCTAAGCAATCATTTTCCAACCACAAAGCCTGCCACGTTACGCATTAATTAGGCAAAATAATGTTTGTGCTAATCCCTCTTCATCGTTAACCAACCATATGTGATAACGCCAGAGGCAGAGCACCTCTCGTGCCAATAGAACTGCTTAATCCATGCGTCACTCCCACAATACATCCAAATTGCCAAATTGCTGTTATTCTACCCTTTGAAAAACCTCTATCCAGTAACACAGGTGGGAGATTAATTTGCGGTGGACATAACATGCGTAGAAATGATTTAATTATAAATGTTTAGTTTCAAACATTTGGGTGTCTGGGTAATTACATAGTGATGATAAATATATAATAAATAGAAAGAAAAGCGACATATACTTCTCTCCGCCAGCTGTAGGGTAAGGCTCAAGTGGAGTAGAACAATGTTTCTGGAAATAGAAAGAAAGGCTTAAAAGAGAGTCCCAAAAGGGGGGTAGACTGACATTCAAAGGGATGGGGAGGTCCTGTCCTGGTTCTCTGGACCGGAAGGCAGAAACTGCCAAACTTAATTGGCCACAAAGAGCTGGGTCTTTCATCTTTCAATGAATCATAAAGAAAAAAGGTGGATGAGATAAACCAATGAAGAAAGTGATGATTATCCACAACTCTTGACTTTTTTCTCCTCATATTAATGTCCCTCAAACAAAAGATGCTTTTTATTAGGTCATGATTTCTCTCAGATGGGGAGTCTCCATACCCTTTTGGGGTTTCATGCAGGAATACCTTTACTTCACTAATGGGGTATTGGGTCAGCTGTGAGGTAAGAAACAGCAGGTTGCTAAGGTTTGCATCACCGAGTTCTGACAGTTTATTCCATAAAGATGCCCTCAGACGAGGTCGTCGTAGGTAACTTGTTCACCTAAAATTCATATTCGCACATGCTTAATGGCGAATGCAGTATATTATTATTTATATATGTGTGTGTGTGTCCTACACAGCACCCCAGAAAAAACTTCCAGCTCTGTATATACTATATATATAGCGCATACACACAGGGCCGAGAAAGAAATTTTGTATACATACAGTACCTGTTCATGATGGTCAAAAACGAATCTCTAGTCTGAGCCTTGGAAACGATTATTCGGCTACAATTAACCCATGGCATGACTAACAAAATTTTACTGGGGATAGAACAAGCAGACAACAAACATATAATTATCTCTGCAACTAAGCTGATAACTTACATAATTTCAACCTCATTCTTTTGTAATTGCTGCAAGTTTGACAGTCCCTAGTCCCCATCCACATGCAGTATTTGACCATTATGGTCCAACGAATGCCTGCTCAGATACAATTAACGGAAGGCATATGAGTAACAATTTTATTTTTATATTTAGTTGAATACCCCACATTTCCTGGGACTAAAACAAGCAAACAAATATTGCATTAAAAAATAAAAAAATATATAAATTATCTGTGTCAATGTTATGAGAGCTCATCCGATTTCAATTTTAAGACTGCGATGAGTTTGTTGTAGTCCCCAGTCCTATCCATATTATCTTGCATAAAAAGTAACCATCTCCAATCATTTTATTTTATATATTGGATAAGGATCAAAGGCGTGATCAGCGACGACAGAAATTTCAATGGCTGTAGCAGTGATTTGGTTAGAAAATTCGGCTGGTTAAGCATGCTGAAAATTACACATAGCCAACCTCAAGACTAGTCAAACACAGAGAAAACACATTATTAGTTAATTCCCAACTACCATAAAGTCTTGATTGCGACTCCTGTAGTTTTCCACGTGTAGTTAACCTAATCTATTGGATTGCCCTTATCCACTGTCAAAATAGCCATCCCACGGTTTCTCCTGCTTTCCAACAATGCCTTCTGCCTAACACAAATTATTCACTCAGCAAAATCACAAGTTCACCAGGCCTCAAGACTAATGCACATATCTGATATCTTAGTGGATATTGATAACCAAGATCCCCACCTTGAAACGGGGTATACTTAATTAATTCATGTAATTTGTTGACAAATGATAGTCTCAAATGCACATTAGGCGAGATTATCTCATTCGAGTATTTTATTCAATAGATTAGCTATATAAACTACTGAATTTAAAAAGAAAAAATAGTGGCTAGATTAGATATTCAAGCTGCACATGGAATTGAGAAATTGGAATTCGATTTTTGAAGCTCAAACTAGATAAAGGGCATGGTCACGTAATGGCAACACCTCTATTTGTGGAGATTTAAAATGCTTTTCCACATCCGAACTCGATGAAATGTTGTAAAATGAACCATGTAGTGTATGTTTTCTGCTGCATCATCACCTACTGGAATAAGTTATTGAAAAATGTCACCAAATGTTGACTTGACCTAGAAATCATGGATTATAATTCCCTACCTTTCATGGAGCAGCCTTCATATGTATATAATATTTAAATATATCAAAAGCATGAAGAATTTAAGGCTTGTATAGCATAAATCACGCACAATATGAAATCATTTCCATTATATATATATATATATATATATTCAATTTTTCTGTAGATAGATTTTATGCAAAAGAAAAAATGGAGAAATTAAGATCATGATGTTTACCTCCTTCAGTAGTCATTCACATAGTAACTACGGGCTACTTTAACAATTGGAAGCCTCTTTCATATCCCAATTTGATGTCAAAGAACTTCGTCAGATGTGAATCATCTTTAGCCATGTCACAGACATGTCTGGAACTTGATCTCGTGTTCTTTTAATCTTTTTCATTGTAACACAGATGTCCCAACACAGGGTGGGCTCCACCTCTGTTCCAATGTTAAAAGCATGTTCGACATGTCGCAAGCTGTATACAGAGAGGCATAATTGCCATCTGCTCATTTGCTTTTAACACAGCTCCAAGAGAAATCATACAAAGCAATGAAAATCTGATCAGCACTATAATTAGAGTCCAAAACAAGAAACCCAGTACCAAAACTGACTAAGAGAATAAAAGTGATACCACTAATGTTCATTGCCTCCATTCAGCTGATCAGCAAAATCAACTATAAGTCCAATTGCAACCTGATGATTTTCATACACATAGTTAAACTAGCTTATGATTTTCTTGATATAAATAAAAGTACTCCTATAAAAGATTTAAGTCTTTGGTTACTAGAAAAGAATATAATGGAATGGATTAAAAAATCATGACAACAAAAAATTAAATCACCCTTTCCTCAATGAAAAGCATGATAAAACTCATTAATATATGCTACAAATGTGGAAATCATCACACATTTCAAAAATCTCATAAATCATGATTCTCAACTCCATAAACTAAATTACCCCTCTCTCTTATCAATATACTCACCTATTCCTTTTGATCATCTTATTTTTACCTTTATTTTTTCAATTCAATCCATTTCATTCCTTGCCAGTAAGCAAATGTGATCTTATTGATTTACAGAAGGCACATACCTGGCCAGGGACATAAATGTAAGCTAAGGAAGACTAGAGTTCTTTGCGGGGAAAAAAATCAATATGTTCTCAAAGAAAATAGAGGGAAAGAAAAAACTTCATTATTATGCCTTAGATGTTGAAGAAACTAGTATAAAGCTCAAAACGTGTAGATTTACCATCCAATCTTCTGGGGCAATTCCTTCTGCGCCTACATATGCCTAAATTTTACTTACAGATTTTAGGCAGCAAGTCCGTGCAAGTAATTATAATGGTAACTAGGTTTGATCCTCCATAATATACAGCATGGCTCTGAAATTTATATTCTAATGTCCAAACTAATGAATATCCATGATACACGTGTTCAGCTCTAATATAAGAATATGCACTAAGGTTAACCATAAGACAGGAACAGGAAAATATAGATTGCATGTCATGGCCTGTCAAGTGCTGTATAAGAATTTACAAACATCATATATCTTGCTTATGGTAATTGAAGTCTGGGTATACATAGAGAAGATGCTATGCACCTTATGGATATCCTATGAACTTGATAAGATTGGTAAACAACAGTGAAAATCGTCAAGGACAAAACCGTGTCATTGGGGACCAACTGCAACATGCGGCTCTACTGATCCCAAAAAGAAAAACCCCTCTCTCTTTTTACTCTCCTGATCTCGGGTTGGCGAAGAAAATCTTTCTCCTTCTCTGGTTTATTAGGTATATCCTTGATATTCTTTCTTAATCTAAGAGAATCACTCTCTAATTTTTTCCACTCTAAATCAGTCATCTGGTCCTCCGCTACCTGTTTTCCAGAAAGCCAAGCTTGTAGCATTTCATTTGTTTTTGGTTCTGGGAGGAAGCCTTTCTCCTGCATCTCATTATAATATTTGTATGCTTCTTCCAGCTTTCCATTCAGAAATAGCCCATGAATCAGTACAATGTAAGAGCTACGATCAGGGTTGACTCCACTTTCACTCATCTCACTCCATAACTTAAAGACAATATCAAGCTGTTGCCATCGACTAAACTTTCTTATCAACATTAGATAAGTCTCAGTGGTTGGGTAGCAGCCCTGTTCCCTCATCTTGTTCAGAAGCTCAAATATTTCTTCCTTGGTCCTTAGGTTACGGAAGAAGGCATGATAAGTCCGAATAGTAGGGGACAGACCCCGCTGCAACATCTCATCTAAAATTGCTTTAGCTTCATCAATTTTGTGGGCTTTGCATAGAGGACCAATTAAGGAATTGTAAGTAACAGCATCTGGAGAAATGTTGGCATCTTCCATTGTTCTCAGGAGATTGACAGCTTCTTTCACAAACCTACCCTTTGCGAGAGCATGAACGACTGCATTATAAACTTTCCTATCTGGAGTGACCTTTGTTTTCTTCATCTGGTCAAACAGCCTGAATACCTTGTAAAGTTTAGAAGCCTTTGAATAGCAGGACATGATACTTGCATAGGAGACAACATCATATTGGATTCCTCTCTTGCCCATCTCCAGCCAAATTCTCTCCGCTTGACGTGGGCTAACAATTACATTACACCATCCATTTAGAATAATGTTAAAGCTTTTGGTGTTGAACGGGAATACATTTTTGTTGCAGAAAAGAAGATGCTCAGCATCTTCCACATTCTTGTACCGACAAAGGGAAGAAAGAAGGCCTTGAAATTCTTCCATTCCAACTTGAAAGTTGAATCGTTTATAAGCATAGAAAGTACTTATAGCCTTTCCAACATCACGAACAGCACAATATCTCCTAATCATAATCAAGAGAGTTTGACGGGTGACAAGAGACGGGCCAGTACTACCTTGTCTCATTTCCTCAATTAAGGTCCAAGCAGTATCAAACTTCCTCATTTTACCAAGGATATGAATCATGGAGTGGTACTCGCGAACAGAATGAACATAATTCGGTTGCTTGCCTGCCCACAGGAAAAAAGTGAAAGCCGCTTCCCAATCATTCCTAATTCTTGAAAGAACCTCCACAACCAACTCTGATGATACAGTAACATTGCAGTGCTCGAGATTAAATTTAATTTCAGATGGTCTATAACCTGCTGCTCGTAATATGTCCAACATGGTTTTAACATCTCGGGCAAGGCCATCATCCCTTAGGCCCAACTGACTAAGGTGGTTATGATTATTCTTGTCAAGGTCATCCAACTCCTCCTCCTCATGACCGCCTGAAGTTTCATCAAAACCCAGAGTTGAGGCATCAGTTGACACTCCAACCTTTGTGGTGCGGGATGAAGAGGAAAACAGGACTGAGAAACCAAATTGTGGTGGAGCCGGAAAAGCTGCAGACCCTGAAGGCTTCGAGACATTGAGAGCAGCGGTCGGTGGCTGCTCAACTATACGACTGTGATTGCCAGAGTATAAATTCTGACGGATGAGTAGGGCAACAGAGAAAACAGATAGATTAGATCTAATTCGGATCATGTGCCCAATTCAGTATAGAACACCTAAACTGGTTGATGATGAATAACAGGCGGAGCTCACAGCTATCCATTGGAATTGGAATGCGATGGAAGGGAAGTAAGTAAAAAAAAAAAAGTATCCATATGTAAATCACTCCAAGACCAACTGACAATATCACTTTCGTCGATTCTAAAACCACTGAGCATAAGCTGTTTGTGAAAATGCCCAAACGAAAAGAATTTCAAATGAATGATCGATCAAATACAAATACATAAGATGTGCGGGAATGTGTCCGTCGTGCCTAAGAGAACAACAAGCGTTGTTGGATGCTTCGAAGAAACAAACCTCAATCTTCGCCGGCGAGGGATTAAGGCGGGTGCCGCTCGCTGCAGAGGCAGGTCACAGGTTAGGAGCTCTTCAGTTAAAAAAAAAAAAAAAAAAACATTCGACCACGGTCAATATTAAACAATTTTGTTAAATAATAAAATTAATGAACGGTGAGGATGGGAGAAGTGGTGGAAAAGGGACGGAAAAAAATGGAAAGATCCTGGTGCTCAAAAAGTACCCTTACTCATGAAAGAAATAGGAATGGCTCTTGGGTCCATTGCCCCATTACACTGACGCTGATCAACGCTTTTTCTCCTGTAATTACACACGCTCAAGCTTAAAAGTTAAACGGAAATTTGCTCGAAAGACTTAACCACTAAATTTATTGCTGAAAAGGCTATGAGATATTAGGTTCTTTGCTGCCAATATTTTGGTGAATAAATATCTTATATGTCTTTAATAGTTAAAAAAAAAAGTCAAGCAAAATTTTTCACTGTCAATATATCACATAAGGTATTCTGGTGTCAATTTATTGAATACTAAAACATAAGGTCTTATAGTATCATTATGTAAAACAAGGCTTTTTAGTGCCAATATATTTGCATCTAATGTGTACATACGAAAGTTTTTTATATATGATGAAAGAAATGTTGTATATCATAAAAAAAAATCTACATTTGCAAAAGAGCATTGCATTTGACAAGAGAGTATTGTATTTTATGGAAGAAATTTATATTTGTTAGAGAGTGTTGTATATGCAAGAGAGCATTGCATATGATGAAAAAAATGTTGCATATGAAATAAACTTGCATTTGTTAGAGAGTGCTATATATGATGAGAGAGTGTTATATATTTAAGAGAGTAGCTATATATAATGAAAGAAAAGTTGCATATAGTGGAAAAAATTTGTATTGGCAAGAGTGTTGCATATATTAGAAAATAGTTGCATATAATGAAACAAATGTTGTATATCATGAAAAAAAATTTTTACATATGTGAGAGAGTGTTACAAATGTAGAAAAGTGTTGCATACGATAAGATAAATCTTGCTTATTATGAAAGCTTATTGCATATAAAAAAATGGATCATAGCCTTTGTTTATTCAATTTTTATAAAAACGTAAATAAATATTTTAAAATTTTTCTTAATTTTCATGAAAACACAAATGGATACTCTAAAATTTTACTTAATTTTTATGAAAATACTGATAGACAAAAATGAAAATGCAAATGAATCAAAGCATCTATCGTTTCAATTTTCATAAAAATGCAAATGGATATTCTAATTTTTTTTTTCATTTTTCATACAAACACCCATGAATATTCTGAAAAAATATAAACAAAAAAGAAACATAGTGATATAATATGGGATAATTATTAATTAAATAATTAAGATTAATTTAAGATATTAAAATTATCTATTAACAATATTCAAATAAGGATATCTATCCATTAAAATTAGAATTTATTATTTTATTTTATTGTTATTTTAAATATCGATATATTTAAGATTTGAATTAGATTTAAGATTTAGATTTGAATTTAAATTATTATTATTTTATTATTTTTAGAGCTTTATAAATAAGTTAAATTTTTTATTTGTATTTAACTTTGGAATATTATTAAATAAGAGTTTTTAAGAGTTTCAATCTTCTTTCTCATTTTTTCTCTCTTCCTCTTCTTTATCTCCCCTCTCCCATTCCCCTTTTACATCACATAGCTTCTAGCTACATCATTTTCTTTAAAAAATTGTATCATATCTTAAACATTTACTGAAACGTTGATGGCAACCTCTATTGCTTTAGATCATTACAAGAGCAATTTATCAATCCATTTTCCAAATCCCATAAGAATGTTGTCATGCACTTATTGACTTTTTTTAGTCTTGAAAACCTTAATCCACCAATGAAACTCATAAAGTTGAGGCTGAATCCATATAAAGGTTTGCTATTCCAATAGGTATAATTGTATTTGCATTCATATCCACTCTTGCAATTACTCCCAATAGGCATAAATGCAAACACGCTTGGTAGCAGATGAACAGCCTTCAATTTATTGCCCAAATAACATTATTAGCAACAAAACACATGATTAATTTATAGAAACTAACTAATGAACCATGGACTTCTTTCACAATCATAGCCCACTTCATGTGATAATGTAAATCACTGCCTTCCCTACATACTCATAGAATGGATATTGTAGAATAATCACTAACCTTTTCCACTACTACCCAAAGCACAACATCACATAAAAAATGAAACCAAACCTCATATTGGTGATATCTCTGAAGCAACATTGAGAATAATGTGTATATAAGGAGCATTTTGCATTTTGATTTTCGTCTTGGTCAAAATTCAGATTGTTTTTCATAATCTTACATACTCAATGAACAATCGAAAATCAATATAATAGATTAATGATGGCAATCAATGGATCCAAATAAGAATAAAACAGACTACCACACCTCCATCTAAATCTCTTATGGAGCTTAATTGGTCCAATTTCAACATCTTGATCCTCTCCTCGCTTGGTGGTGTACTACTGCAAGTAACTCTCTGACATATAATCCGCACATTACTTATTGCTGCCTATATATATATCGATCAGTGCTGAATAAATCAATGCATCATCATTTGACAAAAAGTCTAAGTTTGAATTACAAGCCAAAACAAAATAATTCATTAAAAAAAATAATAAAGCAAGGCAAGGAATGAATAAACGTGTGCATACTTGAAAGAACAATTGCCACCAACGCCATTGACAGGGGAGGAGGGGTGAGAGATGAAGCTGAATAGCAAGAGAGCGATAACCAGTAATAAGAGAGCGACAATTGAATCAAGGTGCCCCAAAATAAGAAGTGGGTGGAGTCGAGTGGGAAGAGTGATAATCAAATTAATGTTTTTGTTTTTGCCACTAGCTTTGAGAACTTCATTATTGGCAACATCTCTCAAGGATGAATTGAGAAGAAAAGGGAAGATCAGGAGGGATTTGGGGGTGGGGTGCAAGAAAAATTGGAGAAAGAAGGCAGTGAGGAAGAATAAGACACAACTTGAACACCACAGCCTTGTCCAGGATCATAAGTAACGGTAGAGGAAGAGGAGGCACGGTGTGCAAGGTCATGATCGACAGCGAAGAAGGAGGAGCTGCAGGTGACGCCGGTGTTATAGAGGGAGAAGCTTGTAATTGTGGTCAGGGCATTTTGGCAATATGACTACCCAGCTTTACTCTTCTAAAAGACCTCAATCCTTAAAACAAATTCTGAACCTTTTGGGAGAATAAATTTACTAGTCAAGTTTTTTTGAACAATTTTTTCAAAATTAAAACCTCGTGTTTAGATTTGTGCCCAAAAAAAAAAAACGTCATGTTTAAATTGCCATTAGTCATTCCAAGATATATATTGAGGGATTACTAGTCACTTTTTCCAGTATATATTGCTTCCTTAATTTTGCTTTTCTTGGCCTCCCCTCTCCCCCTCCCCAAAAAAGTATCCCTACAACTAATACTTGTAAAATTAATTTTTCAAAAAATTTAAACATCATTTAAAAGGCTGTGCTCTCTCTTTAGCAATGCTCTCCATATACATCTTTAGTAATGGAACGGAATAATATTTAAAGAGTTTAAATTGTTACTATTTATATCACACCCATTTGATAATTCTCGACTTTTCTTTTGTGTGGCTTGTTGATTGTGCCCTTATATTTTAAAAAATGTTAATTAAAAATAAAAACCCTAACATTTTATTTCAAAGTTATTATTTGATAAATATTTTTAAAAATCACTTTATTTTTTTGACCACTTTTTTCTCTCGACTATATTTAATTATTTAATTTTATGCTAAAATTCACTTTCAGCTATTAATTTATTTAATTACAATTCAGTTGTCTAATTCTATCATAAAATTTATTATTTTCTAAATTGTACGTTTGTGCAATCTTTTCTAATCCAACTGAAGTTTAACAATAAATATTGTTTATTTCCTAAGAAACATATAAAACTTGAGGGAGAATTACACAAAAGTCCTACTTAAGACAGTTAATTAATTCTCCCAACCTTTTCTATTAATTATTTTTTTTGGGTAAACAGTGGGGCAACAACCCAAGATATTAATTATTTTAATTAAATCGCAATAGAGGAAATTTTTTTGAATAATTTTTAAAATTTAAATCAAATTGAAATAAAGTAAAAATAAAGAACAAAAGAATGAACTTTTATCACGAATCAAAACCATCCACTCAATGAACCAACAAAAATGACACGGTATTGCTATTTCCTCATTCCTAAGACCATATATATGAGCTGATTGAATCGAATGAGTCTTCGAGAGCTGCAAATCTGATCATCTGTGAAGTACAAATGAAATTTAATGAAGCTATAGATCTTTTCCAACTATTCCAGAGATGCACCGCCAATTGCAATCTCAGTTCAGCCCGACTGAAATTTCTGACCATCCAAAAATGGCAGCATTTCACCTCATAGACTTTTACGTGAAAAATAAACCTGCGCCTCAAGATTCCGGACAAGTAATCTAAAGTGAAGATACGGCTTCTATAGCACTGCCTAATGGCCATGCTGCTTCAACGAGAGAATCCTGATATTTTACTTTCTTCACCAGTGTAATCTCTTGCCAGGGATCTAGGCCTGCAGACAAATGCAATCAGTCAGAGCAGGAAGATGGGCAATCAGTGCTCAAATTTTGTTGAGAACATCACAGGTATTCAACTATCGGTGCAAAACCTACCAAATCCATCAACAAGCAACGTATACTGATATACAAGATCCATGCATATGAACGGAAGATTCCCCTCCTCAACGCTTGGATAAGTGGATTTAGCATCCTCAAGCTTCGTTTCACAAGCTCGCTTCGCTGCATCCTCGAAATCCACAGGATGAACTTTGGCGACAGGTAAGTTTGGATCAGCAATACCAGCCTAAGAATAAAATTTCTTATTAGCAAAATATAGCATAACCATGCTACAAGGATTAAAGGGTAGATGCGCTTTCAGTACTGGTTCCATGATCAGAGAAAATAATAAAATACCTCAGCAGCCCGGTCAAAGAAAAATGAGGCGACAAAAAGATTTTTCTGACCATCTCCTCCTCCACCATTCCATATCCCACCAAAAGTGCACTTCATATGCGTGCATGTTGACTCATTAACTTTGAGAGCCTTGAAAACCACACTTTTACAGTCATTCAAGCTTGCGCCAGTACGGGAGGCTGAGGCCTTATATGACTTTCCTCCATAGCTGTAAAACCCTAGCAAGTAGGAAAAAAATACGCCTCTTTTGCATTATATGCTACTAATTGTGAAGAAAATACCTAATATGCAAATTTCCAACGATTCAGTTCTCAACACTAACTAAATTATTATGGGGAGGGGTCCCGGCATTGAAAAACCATAGCTATGCAGAAAGGAGAAACTATATTTACCATCAAACCCAGATAAGATACAAGGATTGTCAGAATCTTCAGAAACCTTTAAAATCTCTGCACGAGCTGCTAGTAATCCATAACGCAAGTAACTGAAAGCAAGATGTTCAATCTCTGTTAGCCATGGAAAATGGCAGTACCTGACTGTCTGTCAATCTATAACATAAATTATATGAATATTCTTGCCAAAGACAACAAATGTGGGAGGTTGTTAATTCTCCCTGAAACTGTCATATCATAGCGACTCTCATACTGGCATATCTTAAATCTAGAGTAAGAAGGAAACCTGTGGACATAGAGGTAATACTTCCTTCCCCTCAAGAACATCTCCCTAATGTATGGATCCTCCCCATCTGCTAGTTTGGGAGCCTTCACAGCATCAGTGTCTGAGATAGCATATGCCATTTGAACAGATCCACCACCAAGATCAACTACTCCAACTGTCTTTGAATATGTTTTTCCCAGGCTTCCCAGAAGATAGTTGATAGTCACCTAAAACAAACAAATGGCAAGATAAAGCTCCGTGGTTAATTTTTCAATAAACTATCAAAGAATAGTTTCTCATAAGACATGATTAAGGATAAATTGACTCTCTAGCCAAAAAAAATCTTGTGCCCAAAAAATAGAGACCAAATTTTTGAAAATTTGGAAGTATGATCGGTTCACATTGATATATAAGGAGTTTATCATTGAAAATTTAAAAATTTACAAGAAGTTTATTATTGATATACATTGGTATATCATTGAAAAATATAATAAACTAACCATAATACAAAATATAATAAATGTTAGGCTGTTTCTTTGATTTGGTTCTATAATATGAAATATATCTATAAAAGCCCCTATGCTTAATTTATTGTGAGACTTTAAGCTTCATTGGACTGCTCACAAGTCAAAGCTTATAATTAAGGATAATGCCCTACAATAACAACATTTATCATGGAAGAACAATTGACAAGAATTCTGATAGATACTTGGTTGTATGGGATACCAAATCCCATAAGTCCTATATTAGGTAGTATGGCAAGCTCAATGGCGTATTTAAATGGGTTAGTTCTCCTACCTCAATAGCTAGCTTTTGGGATAAGGTTTTCCATCCCACTTAGGTACTTATCAAATTCACATTCGAGTACTCCAAATGATCTAATGTACAATTAAGATTTAAGAATAACATGAAAGACTTTATGGCTAAGTTATTACCAATTAATTCTTTTCAACCCTTTTTCACATCGAACAATTGTTAGAACCAAGTAAAAAATTCTTTTTAATGAATCAATACAAGTTCTTCTAAAAGAGATAATTTTCTCTTGCAATAAAAATGGAAAATAAATAAAAATTCTGCTGCAAAAGGCTTAAGGAAGGCATTGTTAATAAAATGCAAATCTCTCTCCCACTCACTCAATCACTCACATTAAACGCACACTTGACCATCTTATGCTTTCAAGTTCAATAATCAATCATAACAAGTCTCGGATCAATACTAATAAACCTAAACTTTACATAGGCACTTAATAACTCTGAGGATTTTGTGACCTTTGATCAACCCCCACCTTATGGTGTTAAGGTGGTGGATGATGAAAGGAGATTATTTGAGAACACTACCTAGGTTGTAATCTTTTCACTTTATTACTATTTTCATTCAAAAAAAAAAAAGAGCTGCAATGTCATCCTTTTATTTGTTGGCAATGCCCCATTAGGTGATAGGCTGATGGCTGATGTGGTTAGTTTATCAACCATTGTTTTTCACACTAGAGTAGTATTACTACTTACTAATATCAATAAGTAAAATTTAAAATTTATGGGGAGCCATATTATTCACAAATCATAAACAATGGGGCCTCTCTCGGTATTTGTGCAGCTGTTTTTTTTTTCAAACTTTATTTACACATTTTATTGGGTTCCATACAATTTTGTTTTTATTCTTCCAATATGCCTCCACATATTTTAATAGGATTTAAATCTGAGGAAGACAAGTACAATTATGAAGAAACTTTTAAATTAATATATTTTCCATACATCATTGTAAGGGAAAAAAGAATAGTTGAGACTAAAATAGTATGGGAATATCTGAATTTATTGTAAATATTAGGATTGATTATTAGGGATATTCTAGCCTGATTATTAGCGATCTTTGTTGATTATTAGGAGTTATTAGCATTTATTAGTTTGTTTCTAAACTTTGTATATATATACTGGTTGTAATTCATACTTTAAGATCAATGAGAAACATTTTCTTCTCCTAAATTTAAGGTTTATTTTTTGGGATGGATCACATAGGGCTTCCTATATAGCACCTAAGGGCATTCATGTGGACCTTGGTGGAGCTTGTTTGGACTCTCATCGCCAGCCCCAAGGAGTTCAAGAGGTTTCGACTGGCCAAACACTGAAAAACAATGCCCAACAGCGGCACATGTGAGCTACATGCGCCACCACAACATTCTACACCAGTGCCGTTTGCACGGCGCTTGTTCCCCTGAGACAGGTGGCAACTGATTTTTCGATGATGATATAACATTTCCAGTCAAATCCTGTCCACTCCAGTGTCTAAGCACCCTTGTTTCGCATCTTCTTGATCATGTGTACTTGTTTCTTTACTGTGTTTGTATATTTGTAGGATTGTGGCTTTTGCACCCATTTTATTGTGAGAGTGTATTCCTATTTGCAATAATGTGGGTACTCTTGTGGGCTCTCTTGAATATAAGATGCACCATGTCTTGGTCTACACATATAGCAACAGTGGCAAAATGGGAGACCTTCCTTCAAGCTTTAACAACGTCACAAAATAAAATAATATGGATTGTTGATTCTGGACCTCAAATCATATGACTAACTGTCACTAGTTATTTACCACTTACACCCCGTATGCTAGGAATATTAAAGTAAAAATTGTAGATGGCTCTTTAGCACTGATCGTGGGAAAAGGGAGTGTTCAAATTTGAGACTCTATAGTGTTGCAATTGTACTTCATGTGCCTAAGCTTGATTGCAATTTACTTTTGATTAGCTAGTTGACAAAGCAATCACATTGTCATGCTAAATTTCCCCCATCCCATTGTGTTTCAGGACCTATCATATGGAGCAACAATCGGAAGTGCTAAGGAGTATGAGGAGCTCTACTATTTTGAAAGTATCCAACTGAGGGAGTACCTTATCGATAGTCGGTAACTTTGCATCTACCTCTAAAGTTAATGACTTTATGTTGTGGCATAAGAGGATAGGTCATCCTAATTTTCATTATCTTCAACGATTGTTCCCAACTCTATGTCCCAACCTGATATTAATGGCATTCATTGTGAAGTGCGTGAACTTGCCAAACACCATAGAACGTCATTTCCCAGAGCCAAATGCACACCCACCAAACCTTTCATAACTATTCATAGTGACTTGTGGGAACTATCTCGTGCACCCAGTTGCACTAAAACATGGTTCATTTCCTTTATTGATGACTACACTCGTGTTTGTTGGGTTTACCTTGTACGAAACAAGTTTAAAGCTGCATCCACATTCATGAATTTCTTTAACACGACAATAGCACCGAGTATTTTAACCAATCTTTGAGTACCTTCTTCCAAGTACATAGTATTGTGCATACCAATTCTTAAGCCTATACGCCTCAATAAAATGGGGTTGCCGAAAGAAAAAATCACCATATCCTTGACGTTGCTAGAACACTCATGTTTACTCGTAATGTGCCTAAGTTTTATTAAGGGGATGCCATTCTGACCGCAACTTACCTCATCAACTATATGCCCAATTGGATCTTATCCTTTGAAACTCCTCTCCACAAACTGCAAAGTAATTTCTCCACATTTTATTTCAAAACTACTCTTCCACTTCGTGTGTTTGGCTGCATAGCCTTTGTCTAAAACCACCAAAGCACTAAACTTGAATTTCAAGCCATCAAATGCATATTCATTGGCTATTCTCTTAATTAAAAAGGATACAAACGTTTTGATCCCGTTACAAAACACATATTCATCAGCCTTGATGTCACCTTTCATGACGCTACTCCATTCTATCCCAATTCTTCAATTCATGGGGAGAGAATAGGTGAATCTCAGACTTGGGAACAAGAACCTAACAAAGAACTAGTGCTTCTTGAGCTATGGTTTGAACCAATTGAAGTATTGAACCATTACTACCACCAACTTTTGAACCATTACCTTCATTTGTACCTTTACCTACCCTTCTAACAACATCTCCTCTTATACCACAACTTAAGGAACACAAGAAACCAAGAGCAGATGCAGAAAGACCACAAAGAGAAGAACTATCTGTTTACACTCAAAGAAGGATACTGAAAGACAGTGACCAACTTGTGTTTGAAGCACCAAGAGAGTTGAAACTAGAGGTAGCTCCTAAGGCAGAAACTCTTGGAGACTTAGATGATACAGAACGAGTAAGTAAATTCACTAATCTTGATCTTCCTATTGCTATGAGGAAGCAATCGTGTTCTTGTACTTTTCATCCGATAGAGAGGTTTGTCTTATACAATGCACTTTCTCCCCGATATCGGGCATTTGTTACTAATCTTGATAGTACCTGAGACTATACAGGAAGCCTTAAGCATCCTTGAATGGCGAAGTGCTATCATAGAAGAAATAAGGGCCCTAGAAAAGAATGGGACATGGGAGCTGGTTCAACTACCTAAAGGAAAGAGAACGGTGAGTTGTAAGTAGGTGTTCACACTAAGATAAAAGGTTGATGGAACTCTTGACAAGTTGAAAGCTCGCTTGGTTGTAAGGGGGTTTACCCAATGTATGGACTGGACTATGAAGAAACATTTGCTTCAGTGGCAAAATTGAATACAATTAGAGTTTTATTGTTTGTTGCAACTAATCTTGAGTAGCCCCTTCATCAACCTGACATAAAATATGCTTTTCTGAATGGAGAGTTGAAGAAAGAAGTCTACATGACTCTACCTCCTGGGTTTGATAAAGATAGGGAAAAACAAGTTTGCAAACTAAAAAAGTCTATACATGGCTTGAAACAATCACTAAGAACCTGGTTTGACAAGTTCTTAAGGGTTCTAAAGTCCAAAAGTTACAAGCAAGCCCTGTCAGATCATACAATGTTTGTTAAGATTGAGGGAAACAAGAAGTGCATTCTTATTGTTTATGTTGATGACATAATACTAATTGGAGATCACCTTGAAGAGATAAAGAGAGTGAAGATTGCCCTTGGCAAGGAATTTGAGATCAAGGATCTCAGAAAGTTAAAAATACTTCCTTGGGATGGAAGCTGCCCGATCAAGAAGAGGAATCTATGTTTCTCAGAGAGAATATATACTTGATCTCTTGACAGAGATAGGTATGTTGGGCTGCAAACTTGTTAAAACTCTCATTAAAGTTAAGAAACCAAAGAAGAAGCCTAAGGTAAATGAGGAATGTGAAGAAGAGGAGGAGGAAGCTGAAGAAAAGGAAGAAGTAGCTCATAAGGAGAGATATTAGGAGCTCGTAGGAAAAATGATATATCTCTCTCATACGAGGCCAGATATAACATTTGCTGTTAGTGTGATCAGTCAATATATGAGCTATCTAATGAAGAGTCTTATAGAGGCTGGCTACAAGATTTTGAGATATTTGAAAGGTACTCCTACTAGAGGTTTGTTCTTCAGAAAACATGAGCAAAAATCCATCGAAGTTTATATTAAAGCAAGTTAGGGTGGAACCTATAAAGATCAAAGATCAAAGATCAACTTCTAGCTATTGCTCATTTGTGTGGGGGAATTTAGTTACATGGAGAAGCCAGAAGCAAAGAGTTGTTTCAAGAAGCGATGTTGAGTTTGAATTGAGAGCTCTGGCCTAAGGAATAACGGAGGAGTTATGGCTAAAACGTGTCTTAAATGAAATACAAGTTGAAACAAGCTCACCATTGAAGCTCTACTGTGATAATAAGGCTGCCATAAACATGAGCTTAAATCCAGTACAACATGACAGACCTAAACATGTTGAGATAGACCGACATTTCATTAGAGAAAAAGTAGAAGAAGAAATTCTATGTTTAACTTATTTGCCTACAAAGTTGCAAGTAGCTGATGTTTTAACTAAAGGGTTACTTAGACCTGCATTTGAGAATTGTGTAAGCAAGTTGGACATTATAAGCATCTATGATCTAATTTGAGGGTGAGTGTGAGAATATTTGAATTTATTATAAATATTAGGACTGGTTACTAGGGATATTCTAGCCTGATTATTAGGAATCTTTGCTGTAATTAAGAGTTATTAGTATTTATAAGTTTGTTTCTAAACTTTGTATATATACTGGTTGTAATTCATACTTTAAAATCAATGAGAGAAACATTTTCTTCTAAATTTCCACAAATAGCACTCATCATGCGTACCCAAAAAAAAAAAAAAAAAGCACTCATCATGTACTTGGTTGAGACGGCACTACTTGGCCACGTCACCAATTAAACCCCACTCCCCTTCAAAAAACAATGAAATCTAACTATTTGGCCCAATTCACTCTTTCTTAACCCTTGAAGGCCTAAATTGACTGAGTTAAGACTAATAATGGAAGGGACTGATTTCTTCACATTTTAGTGTGGAAATTAATGACAACTTCTACATCAAATTATTTATAGCCATGTAAAATGAAACGTTATACAGGGACCACATTACACCTTATGAGAATTTACAATTATTACAAGTAAGAATTAAATTGGCACAACTTTCAAATCCCCACCTAAAAAAAGAAAAAGAACAAGGAGAAAAGCTGACACGATAAAGCTCAGGTGATAAATTGAGACCAAAATCATCCTACAGAACTAAAAATAAAAACCAGGCCAACAAAGTGAATCGTTTAGTTCTTTTCTTTTTTCAAGGGGAAATTGCATTTATCCACCCTAGCTTTTGCCCTTGATTCCAATGTCCACTCAACCTAAAAAAATTGCAATGGAAGCCCTGATCTTTCAATTAACTCATGAAAATAAAATGCACTCTTTCCAATGTAATTCCCCATTTTACCCTCTCTTCATTCATTGATGATATCACCCAAAAAATGCAGTGATTCCATCCCCTTCTTAATCTTCCTCACATCAATGATCCATCCCCAATACATTATTTAAGGGCAGCTGATATGGAAATGGTGGTATTTTATTAGGATAACCACATAAATGCAACAGACTGAGAGAGGTAAAATAGGAGTTCATTATGACTCAATAATAAATCAAACAAAAATTGAAATAAAACAAGGTACACATCACACAGGTGTGCAATATTTTTCAAACAAACTTACTTTTGGGGGGGGGGCAGGATTCAATAATCCTAACTGATAAAATTATAAACCATACCCATTGATAAGCACCTTCTTGGGTTCCATCCAGTACCGTAACTGCATCAGCCTCAGATTTTAGGGTGCTTCTTTCCCTAAGTAAATCCCTAACCTAAATTAATAATTTGAAAACCTTCAAAGTTAGCATAGCGGTTATAGCCTCCTAAACATCCAACATGATAAGATGTAACTATACTCACTGCTTGCAAGATTCTATCAGAAGCATCTCCTTCCAAAGCCCTCAAACCTGCCGTTGCCTGCATTAGCATAGAAATTCAATTATCCTCCAGTAACCCCGATGTAAAACGAATATATTTTGAAACAGCAATAGTACTATTGGTAGTGGCAAAGGGACGAGATTTACCCACCCCGACTTTAACGGGAGTTTTTGGACGTAACTCCCGGGGAACAACACTTTCTGCTTTGTCTAACAGGGAAATGAGGGAACCGGCGGCCTCCTGGGGATTCTGAGCGTATGCACTCAAACCTGGTTTTATCTACAATAGACCAATTAAGGGAGTCAGCAGTAAAGAGAATGATAAATGATCATTGACGCAAACAAGTGCAAATTGCGAAGGCACAACAGACATAACGATGGCACCTGCTCAAAAAGCTCAAGATCTTGGCCAATGTGAACGAGATCTAAATTGTGGTTAAAATGGAAAACATGTACACGGCTTCCAGAACTACCAGCATCGAAGATAACGGCGTAGGAATTAGAGAGTTTCTGGTCGGGGTTAATTTTACGATGAGTGAGAGCATAATCCTGAATGAATTCGTTGGAAGAGCTTGCAGGCATTAAGTAGAGTACAAAAGTGATGAGAAGGAGTGCAACGGAGACCACCAACAAAATGCTTCGGAACCTGTAGATCTTATCGGAGAAAGACTCTTGCCGACCAGGGCGCTTGAGCATTTTGCTAGATTCGAATTCGGGCAGGTGCTGATCGGCGGAGTAAGACGGTGGAGAATTATTGCCCTGCCCTTCAAAAAGATCAGCCGCAGATGGCGATCGGTACCGGATCTGACCGTTCCCAGTGGCAGGGGGACCCTTCAACTGCTTGGGCTCTGGTAGCGAATCCAGCTCTGAGTCTTGAGGTTTTCTACAAAGTGATGGAAAATGATCTATTTATGAGAATTGAATAACCTGAAAAAGACGAGCATGTGAAAACGTCGTCCAAACCAATGCAATCGATGCGAGCAGACACCAAAAGAAAAATGCCCGTTGATTATGGGGGAAGAGAAGAAGATAGTGATGCCGACGATGAGGAAGAGATGAAGACAATGGCCAGTGAAAGAATTCAAGTTTTTAACTCTCTTTCCCTGTAGTGAGAGAAATGTTCTTTGTGTGTCAGTGTCCGCGCCCTCGAATTTGTTACATGTAAGATGTAACAGTAAATTGTGATGAAAGAAACCGAGTCAGGTATCCAAGTTGGACTCGGATGCGCCCATTCCGGACCCGAGTTAACTTCCTGTTTCTTTCCTCTTTTTTTCCCTCGGAACCCGAGTTAACCACTTTACCTTTCCACGACGGCTTTCTCGTAACAAAAATTTAAAAACGGAACAATACAAAATAACAGATATTTAAAATTTAAAATAATAATAATAATAATAAGAAGAAGAAGAACGGCTAGTTGTAAACAGCCCCACGGAGCACTCCGACCAGAAACGAAACGTGTTGGGGGTTAGGGATTGAAACGGTGTATAAATTGCCATCACATTTTGGGCAACAAGGAGGGAAAATAACAGACCAGACAAGCCTGGCCTTCTGGGTGTAGTCACAGACTCACAGACAATTTTTTTTTTTTTTTGGTAATTTTTAGGACCTGGTTAAGAACGAAAATAACTAATTCTGGCATCGTGTCATACGTAGAATCACTCATTAAATATGTTACGCCATTCATTCCACAGGAAAAATCGTCATAAATTCTTAACCAATACAAAATACCCGAGGGTATTAATCAGCTAGAAAATATGTCGTAATTGGCAGGTCAGGTTGGCAGAAACGATCCAAGTTCAATGGTTAATTAAGTGTCTGTATCTGTGATAGATTGATTATTGACATTAGAGTTGAGTCCCATAAAAAGGTTCAAAAGGATATATATATATATAAAGCATGAATTCAGAACAAATATATATTGGCAAAACATAACATGTTATTGAACGATCAGCTGATTGCTAGAGTCCCAACAGCAGCAAGTAGCAAGAGAGGTGAGAAGGAAGGAAAGATGGAAAAAGAAAGAAAGAAAGAGGTCCCAACCCAACGAATAAACATGGAGCTTATCAATAAATGAAGCTAACATAACCAGATCTGCCAGACCTCTTCAGGCTTTCTTCTGTTTCTCTACTGGTGCTGGTGGGGGACACAAGATCCGAAACACCCAAGCAGCAACTATTGCTCCAATGAAGGGGCAAATCCAGTAAACATAGAATTGGTCCCATGTATTGTGCCAGTTGTTTACATATGCCCAGCCAAAGGCCTGCAAACGCCAAAAACTCAGTTATTCATTACCCGTGTATGCATATACGTATATTTATGTATGTATCAGATCCTGAGGGAACGGACAGCATCGCATCAACTAATACTGATTGACCCAAAGTCAGACAGAATGAAAAGAAAAACAAAGGGGGAGGGGGGAAGGTTAAAAAGGGTTCTAAACTACTAATTAAACTGCAGGAGATGTATCCGGGAGTAATAAGAAATTTTGGGAAGAAAGTTGCAAGGCAGAGTGACACTGAAGGGCTGATGTCCACTATTAAGGGTGGACTTTTGGGGTGCTTAGATTCAAGCTAAAGCAATTTGCCTCTGCATTATTTACCTCTAGCTCCAGAAATAATACAAAGAATTTAAATAAATCACAGCTTAGTTGACATCACTAAAACAATATTTATTTCCAATGGGATCCGAAACGGACTGGCTGAAATATATTAATCACAATTATATCATCCATCAATTCAACATCAACATTTGTTGTAAAAATAAATCAATTAAGGTTGGAGCAACTCAAGCATTAAAAGAATGTTTACGGTTGGCAAAATTAAAAATCAAAAGAATGTTTAAGAGTAATATCAAATTTGAGAAATAAAATTTCTTAACATCACTGACAATGCTATCAGAAACATTATCTCTGGATCTTCTATACTTTACATATGTGGACTATTTAAAATTCATGGTTTAAAAGATGAGGAAGTTCCATTAAGGGAGTGGAGGAGAGGCAAATGTGATTGCCTTCAGACAAATAGAGAAATAGTATAAAGATAAAGAGAACTATAGTCAATAATTTTTGAACGGCTTAGTCACGTAATAAAATTTAAATAGCTCTAAGTTGTTCTTTTTCCCCTTTTTTCCTGAAAAGATAGTATGACAAGTGGATTTGGGTTATGTTGCACAAGAATATAATATCCTGTGCATAAACCGATATCATAGGTAGGTAATTATCTACCCCAGTTCATCATACTTCGTCAAGAAAGAATTGCAACTTCTATTGCATAAACAGACAGAATATGAAACACAACTTCAATTATTACATCATGGAGAAAATTCATCAAGGTTATAAAGTGATCAAGCATTTGTCCACAAAATTCACTGCTTCACACAAGTAGCAAAGGCAATGTCAATGGCATAGTAAGCTGTCACAAGACAAGCAGAAACTATTTAACCCCAAAGAAGTCAACTGTGCTTGGTAGAGTAGCTATAACTCTTTTCTTCAAGCATTTTCCTCATTTTGTCATTTCCCGGTTTTTACTCTCATTCTCCATCTTTGATTCAAGATCAGGCCTTAAAAAAAATAAATATTCTCACACGACACATCACAGAAAGAGAACTTTATTATCCTTATTTACAACTTCAAAACAAGACCGGTTGAACACCAGGACTCACCAAATCCTATTACCTTTACACCATATATTACAAGAAGCCAGGCCTGGATTATACCTGGATATACTATTCACAGGAACAAAGTTAAAATAACAAATAATTGAGGCATATAAAAGAGGGTAGAAGGAGCAAAAGAGGAATAGAAAGATAACATCGAGTATTGCCTTAGACTGATCTTCGTGATCATTAACGCAACACGAGGAAGGAGAGGGGAGTACACAAGCTAACCCCCTGATTTTCTATAAACTCAATAAGACTTGCACCTTTGGAACTAACAAATGTGTGACAGAGACAAAAGTGAGTTGTTGTCACGATCTATGATTATATATCGATACAAAAAATTGTCTCATGAATAGCAAGATGCAAATCCACAGCCTTTTTACTGCAAGTGATTAGTAGTGTTTCTTGAACAACAAAAGAGTAGGACCTATGTAAACATTGTTGTACGGAAATTGGAAAACATATTTATCAATATTTTACTATAGAACCCATATTGAATTCATATCACACCCTCCTACATTTAGATATCTTATCTCCCCATTTATCCCCATGGACGTTTACATGGGTGCCTTGCTTACTAACAAACTTCAACCCATCCTCCTACAACACGTTATTTCCATGTAACAAAAACTTTCAAAAGGAAGTCACACCATACATAACAGTATGGAAGGTTGGGACATGCAAGGTGAATACATCTATGAATGGTATGAAAGAGGGAAAAAAAATATAGACGGAATAAAATATTTTGAAAACAATGAACAAGGAGTCGCAATAGTAAAACAACAAGTCCCTTTTAAAGGTTATCAAACAATATTTGTATTACAAAATTCAGAAGCTAACGAGAAGATGTGATCACTCACATTGGCAGGATTCATGGAGGGCCCCGTGTAAGTAGAGCCAGCCATGACCAGAACCACGGTAGACACGGCCAGCAACCAAGTCTTCAACAATTCATTACGAGGGCCCCTGAGTATGATAAAAAGAACAGCCAGAGTGATCACAAATGTCAGAACCCCTTCAGCCATAGCTCCAGTATGCAAATCAACTTTCAACGATGGTCCTCCAATCATGTGCCTGTATTTCGGCGGTATCACCTCCAAAATTGCCAAAGCACCCCCCGCAGCACCTAACGCCTGTGAATCCAAAGATTCAAATCAGCTATCGAACATTTCAAAACACTCGTTAATTCACTTTGATATCTTAAATTTCCTCTAAGTGGGAGGACAAAATTAACGGAATTCAACCAAGGCAAGATTCAACCACATCAGCAAGGAAAAAAAAATCTAGAAATAACCTGGGCAGGAAAGCGGAGAGCCATGGAGAAAAGGGTGTCAGAGCCGAGACCAACGGCATAAAAGGCAGCAGTGCCGGTGGGGTTGAAGGTGGCACCACCCAAGACATTGCCCACGATGGTGAAGATAAAGACAAGGGTAAAGACAAGGAAAGTGGTGACGAAAATTGATGCGTAATTAAGACCATTGAAGGATAGATGCTGAAGACCAAGTGATGCTGTTATCGCGCTAGTGGCTAATCCAAGCGTGGATGCGCAGAAGACCCACATAAAGGTGAGCACTGCATCTCCAATCGCGGCCTTTATCGGACCAAGCATGTTGCAATATCGCTGCTTTTACCTTTTTCTCGCTCACTTTCTCGACTATTCCCGCTATTCCCTGAAAAGAGAATCTCTGCAGAAAAACGACGGGGTCAAAAGAAGAACGCTTTTTGAGGTCGCCCGTCCCTCTCTCTGCGTCAATTGGCAACAGAGGGAGAGGCTTAAGAATATTGGGATAAGCAAAAAAAAGCATGAATTGCCGTTCGATGGAGGTGTTATATAATATATTAATTAATAATAATAATAATGCCACTATTCGAGTGACTTACCTAATCCCCGGGGAGAGATGAAGGGTCCGGGATAAGTTCACCAACGAATGCATTTCAATCTCATACTTTTTAACCCCATAAAAAATAATTTTGATATCTACTCTAAATATAAATATATATTATATAATTTGAAACGGTAGGAAATCTGACTGCTTTTTTTTTTTTTTTCGTTAGAACTTGAAAGGAAATACATTTAAGTGCCGTCAATATATAAAAAGTTTATTATTTTCTAATCACGAATGATATACCTTTTTTTTTTTATCAACATCATAAATAATATACTGACTTGCTTCAGATTTCGTGTTTCGCGTAGGCATTCTTAACTGGTTAAGTATTAGTTAAGAAAATTTTTCAGAATTTATAATAAAAAGTACCTTCCATTTTACAAAATATTTGAGTTTCTTTTTTATATAAATAAAAGTTAAAATAAGTTGAGTTCTAAAAACTCATCAAACCAGTGAGTGCTTTCATATTTAAAAAAAAGTTAAACACATATTTACTGATTATTCACTAATACATCCCCCATGAAATTTGATCCCATAATTTCATAGCTTTTGAATCAAATACTTATCAGTTAAATTAAATTTTGTCAGGAAAATATATGATTTTCCAATGATTCATGGATGCGCGATCGGGATGATCGCCAACTGACTTATTTACTGACCACGCCTTCTAAGCTTGATTATCTTGGTTACATATGGGTTTTTTATTTATGATTTCATGATTTGATTATCTATTATGTTTTCAATCAAATGCGTTGTTTTTTTTTTTTACTTTTTAAAATGAAAATATTGTTGATGTTGAAATTTAAATTTAAAGTACTTCCTTGTTAAAAAATTATGGAATATTTTTAATCAAATTTTACTTTTCAATAAATTAATTAATTGTCTTTACTTTTCAAACTAAAATCATCTTTTCATATTTGCTTATCTTTACTATAGTATTTAACCTAAAAATAAATATAAAATGATTTATTTATTAAAAATACTTTAAAAAATATAATGATAATACCTTAAAATATTAAATATGTTTTATATTTTTTTAATATCAAACTCTTTAAAAAATACATTACATTTTTAAAAGAAGAGAGTAACTATTTAATGAATTGATTTAAAGCAATATTTTCAAACCACTGTTCCTTATTATACTCCCTTTGTTAGTTATTTTTTAATTAATATTATTTTTTCATATTTACTCATATTTAATATAGTATTTTACTTTAAAGTAAATATAAAATGACTTATTTATTAGGGGTACTTTTGATAAAAGCATACTCCATCCGTTCAAAAATGTAAGGCATTTTTAATCGAATCTCACTCTTTAATAAAGCAATTATCTATTTTCAAACTAACCCTATCTTTTCATATTTATCCCTATAAAATACCCTATAATAAATATAAAGTCATCATCAATAAGGTCACTTTTGAAGAAAAGGACAATAATTACACTTAAAAGGACTAAAAATACCTTACATTTTTTAACATCTAACTCCTAAAAAAATGTCTTATATTTTTAAACAGATAGAGTATTAATTACACTTTTTTATTAAACAAAGCTAGCATTCAAGACTTAATAATGATTACAAACGATTGGGTTTTCAAAGTAAAAACTTTCACCATCTGCCTCCTCCTGCTGAAGAGGTAGGGGTGATCAAAAGTAAAAAAATTACTAAGTAAGCTATGTAACATTTTAGCCAAGCCATCAACTAAAGAATAGTTCTAGTAACATGGGACAACATAATATTTCAATCTTTATGCAAGATACATCTACCTTCGTCAATGACGTCCTTGAAGGGGTGATTATCATCACAACCTCTTAGAAGCGGTTGGATAGCATCAATGCAGTCAGTGTGAACCTTCACTTCTTTGAAACCAAAATTCCAACAAAGTTGAAGGCCTTGAATGATGGCCAGGATCTTTGCAATAACAGGGGGAACATTAATGAGCTTGCAACTAAAACCTTTGAACTACCTGTCATTCTTATCTCGAATAACTCCATCGCAGCCACTATTACCATTAGCTAGCACAGAATCATCAACATTTAATCTAATGATATCATTCTTGAGTTTATTATTCATCCTAGGCTCAGTGCGATTGTAAGACAACAAAGGGGCTAAATTAATTAAATCAAGATCCAGGCCCTAAAGAAAGTATAGAGAACTGAATGGTGCTGAAACTCATTTTCATCCTCAAAGGCCATGTTGCATCTGTCTACCAAAACATCCCAACATAAGTATCCAAAGAGAATATCTCATTTCACCTTTTTGGTAAAATTCTTTCCTGCTTCATGGGTTAAGTTCTATTTTACCCAATCAGCTCTAGAGAGGTTGCAAAAGGTATTCCAAAGTTCATCTTTAATTACCTCTTTCCATCATTCTTTAGCATGTCTGCAATCACATACCATGTGTATAGAGTTCTCCACCTCTTCCCATCCATAAGGACAGTTATACTTTGTAGATAGACCTCTCCTCTATTGCATCTCGACAATATGCACTCTTCTATGAGTAAAGAGCCACATAAAAGACTTCATCTTTTCTGGTATTGACCATCTCCAAATCCGCTTCTAAATGCTATCAGAGTTCCTCCCTATACCTGTAGAAAGAAAGAAATATGCAAATTTAATAGTAAAACAACCATCATTGGATAGTTTCTAAAAATATTTATCCTCTCCTTTCTCCTCACAAGGTAGATGGGCATAGGTTAGATAAGCAATTGAGTTTGGCTGAAACCAATAATTTAATTTCTACATGTCTTACTAACCAAGATTATCCACAAAGCCACAATAGTTGCATTTCTCTCAACTAGCCCTTCTTTGCCATTCACAAGTTCAACCAAGGGAACATTGAATAATGATCAATTCTCAAACCAAAAAGAGGTATTTCTTCTATTCCTAATTTTCTTTCCCAATCCGTCTTTAAATCTATTCCACACCTCACATATGCTTCTCCATGTGTATGAAGAATTTCTTCTCTTGACCACTTTAGGTACATTTTTAGATCCACATTTATATTTGCTTTAAGTACCTGAACCTAAAGAGCTTCTATATTGTTCACCATATTCCAACAAAGTTTCATTATGAAGGCTTCATCTTATTTCTTATTAGCCTTGATACCCAAACCACCTTATTTTTTATCCATTGTCACATTTTCCCATGATAAAAGATTAGCTTTCTTTACTTCTTCAGTATCTCCCTAAAGAAAGTTGCAACTTTATTTTTCTAGATCATTCAAAAGCTTCTTCAGTGAAAGCATAGTCTATATATGGTAAGAAGATAGGGTTGAAAATACAAATCCAATTAAGGTTACACGTCCAACCAAATTAAGAAATCTATCCTTCTAATTAGAGAGTCTCTTTTGTGTTTTCTCCAAAATTAGGGCAAAGAGTAGGTAAGAAGCCCTCAATGTATCAAAGGAATACCTAAATATTTACTTAAATCACTTATTAGTCCCACTTCCATTTGTCTACTCATCTTAAAGGCTTTAGAGAAATGCACCTTCTTGGAAAAGCAAACCTTAGTTCTTGCTTTGTTCATTTTTTGCCCTAACATATCACAAAAGTGTTTAATGCAAGAGAGAAGAACTTCCACTTGATTACAGGAAGCCTCACCAAATAGCACTAGGTCATCAATAAAAAATAAGATGCAAGATTTTTGGTCCTCTTGGGGAGATCTGTACTAGTTTCCAATGGCCTCCCTCTACCGCATCTTCTATAATATGATTCGGCTGTTCTATATAAAGAGTAAAGACATAAAGGGATATAGGGTCTTTTTGTCTAATTCCCTGAGTAGGTTCAAAACTTTGAAAGATTACCATTCCATAGGATTTAAAAAGAAAAGCTCGTAATACAAGCCATAATTACCTCACAAAGATTAGATGGAATTCTAATATTACATAAGGTATCGTGAATGAAATCCCATTTCAAGCAGTCATAGGCTTTCTTGAGATCAACTTTAATAGCCATAAGCCCTTTCCCTTTTTTTGACACGTTCATTGTGTGTATTACTTCTTGGGCAATAATGATATTATCACTGCTTTATCTACCCGCAATAAAGCTACATTGATGTTTGCCTACAAGGTAATCTATAACCTTTTTGATTCTTCTACTTATCACTTTAGACAAGATCTTGTAGCTCACATTATATAAAGATATGGGTCAAAAGTCTTTCATGGATTTAGGAACTTCCACCTTAGGTATTAGAACCAAGTGCATAGAGTTTAGGCCTTTTACCAGAGAGGGGTTAGAAAATAAGTTTTTGACAAGAAAACAAATATCATCACCAACAATATGCTAGAAGTCTTGATAGAAGAAATCTTGGATTCCATTTGGACTTGGGGCCTTAAAAGCTCCCAAGTTGAAAGCTGCTTCCTTAATTTCCTGGTAACTCACTTCACAATACAGCTCTTCAACGTCCTTATCACATAACTTTGGGAAATAATGTCTCGTTACCATGCCATTTTTAGGTTGATTGCTGCCTTCAAACAAAGATTTATAATACCTGACTGCTATAAATTGCAATTCTCTTAATTAAAAATCCATTCACTATTCTCATTTTTAGACCCTTAGTTCAATTTCTTCTCCTTCTAGAGATAGTAGAAGCCTGGAAGAATTTTCTATTTTTGTCCCCCCACTTGAGCCAGTTGCATCGAGATTTTTGGTATCAAATGAGTTCCTTTTAGGTTAAGAGTTTATTGTACTACATCCATAGATCCTTCTCTAAATCCACTAAAAATTGGTTGTCATAAGAGATTCATAATCTTTCAATGCCTTTTATCCTGTTCAACAATATCTTCTTTTTAGCTAAAACATTTCCTATTTTTTGCTTATCCCATTCTCTCGCTTTATTCATAAAAGAAGTAATCAATCCCCTTCTGACCATGCCTTTTTGACCACATCAGTGAAGCCCTCTT